AGGAATAAAATAAATTATGTGATTATTTTCAAATTTCTAAACTTTAAATAACTTACATAATTTTTCTTGTGATAGCTTTCTAATTTCTTCATGCATTATATAGTGAAAGCCTACAAATATTATCATTTTGGATGTAAAATTGTAATTTAAAATTGTTTACTATATATATAACAACTGAATAGACATTAGATATTAGATATATATCATACATGTATATAAAAGTATGTGTACAGATATGCATAAACACATATACTGGAATACCCTTAAGTACATATAAACACCTAGGTGTTAAAACATACCTACCTATGTATTTAGTATTTCAGATGTAGATTAAAAGACCAAAGAGATGCACAGAAGAGAAAACACGCATCTCTCCTCCATTGCTCAAAAGGGTAGAGATAAAAATCATACTTATTAGAGATTTGTTATTTTAACAAAATTATACTCCATTTCTAAAAATGAAGAGAAATGCAATGGCAGCTGCAATGCAGAAACCACGGTTTGCTGCTCACACTTGGTATTTAATTACCAGTCCAGCAGAGGTTGGGATGGAGGAAGTACCAAACACTGCTTCACACAGACGCTTTCTATTAATTCAAAGAGGAAAAGTGCTGTGGTCCAAGAACATTCAGACTCCCTGCTCTGCTGAAATAAGTGCAACAGAGGGGGCTTTAGAATCGTGAAGTAGGGGAGGAAAGAATAACAAAAGGGAGTTTTTCCTGAGAAGGGGTAGGAAATGTCACATAAAAAGACCCGCGGTGAACGTCCTTTCTTACCATAGCAAGGAGAAAGCGCACAATCACGAAACTATAGTAGTCAAATGTGAAGGCCACTGCGATGCCAAATACAAACTGACCAGCACTTGTGAACCATATAACACGCTGTCTTCCCAGTCTGCAAATCACAGCAGTAATAAAATTATGAATAACCACAAACATCCTATTAAAATACACCTGCAACTCCAGAGAGCTTATCTGGAGGTCAGTCTGGAAATACTGTACTTAATGCTTGCACTCACCACAGAAACTCTGGTTTACTTACCTGTATTAATTTTTCAGTAATTCCAACTAAACTCCAGTAAAAGAAAGCTCCTATGGACAGAACTTCCATTCCACAATTCTTGGCTGGAAGTAACACGCAGAAGTGGGCACTACATATGCCCATCTCTAGTTTCAAGTTCAACTTCTACATAACTAATCTGCAAATTTACTCTGTCTTATTTATGATGACAATAGGTAAGACTCACTTTTTCAGGTATTTTATATTAAGTAATGCCTAGTTAATAATTTCTAAAAAAAGTTAGCTGTGATAACACATGCTATCTCCTGCCAAAGTAACAACCAATTTGGATAGTAATGAAAATATCTTTGTCTAGTTATTTAAAGTTGAATTCTCTAATAAATGACAATTACTTAGTTCCCCTGAATTTTGTGATTGCATCACAGCACTCATTCATGCATGTAAAAACACAGAAATCCAGGAAGCTAGTATATTAACAGGAAAAAAATTCACATCAAATACTAGCCGCCCATCAACACCATAGTAATTTCCAGTCTAGAAGAAGGGCATTTAGTAAAAAGGAAGTTCTATTTGTTTATCTTCTTCCCATTTCTCAGGGACAAAACATACCAAGCAGAGTCAGTTGTCCCTAAACAAGTTAGCACGTTATCAATAAGCTTATCTGAGGCAAAACCCTAGAAATCTGCAGTAGATACACAACACTCTAGAGGATTCATCGTATTCTGCCTATGAATGTTCCGTAATACAAAATGCACGAAATAATTTTTCTTCCCTGATAATATTGTCTTGGACTCTTATTCCCTACTACACTGCAAGCAGGTTTTAACAGATGTGGATATTATGTTTAGGCAGAGAGTTTTAGGACTTTCGTGGCTGTGGGCTCATTTGTCATTTTTTCTCTGTATTTGGTACTACATTAGAACAACCTTGGAAAGTGATGTTGTAAATAGGAGGTGTAGTCCAAACAGCCACACAGCATAGTTCTTTCCAGTGCCCTCCTATTTTTCTGCAACCTTGACCTGGAGTCATGCACATTTGGTCTCTGATCCCTGCCAGAATAGATCCCAGTGACTTCCAGCTGTCAGAGCTCTTCTGTTGGGAAATCTGTTAACTGGGAATGGGAGGAACCCACAAACTTACTTCCCACCAGCCGGGATGTGTCAGAAAATAATAACTTACAGCTGTGAAATCTACAGTTGCAAATCTGCAACTCAGAATGTGTGCATTATCTTAACTGGCTGTCCATGGCTTGAATTAATGGAAATGAGAACAATATGATCGTAACCTTATAAATCATGCCTGAGTATTAATTAATAAAGCTATGAATGATTTAAAGGGATGCAGAACAAATCTTGGCATTATATTTTGGTTTTGTATTAAATACAGTTTTACAAAGCCTTGGATTGGGAGGCAGAATTGATTCCATGTGTTCTAAAAGCCAAATTAAAACAAGATCATCTCTACTTTTCCATTCCCATGTTCTAACTGTCACACCGTAGCATTGTGCTATTGAAGGAAAATCAGAGAACAACATGCCTGGTCTCCTTTTTCTGCTCATACCATTAGTTGCGGGATAAAACATCACCCTCCACCTAACAGTGCTGTTAGTCAACAAACACCTTTATAGAAGGAGATAAGTAACACTAAACCAGCCTTCAAATCAAAATACAGGTACCTAAACTGCCTGAGACAAAACCAAGTACAACGTAGCTTAGGTGTTTGACTCTTATATAGATAGCAGGGAACGGATAGGCATTCTTCTGAGATAGGAATATGTGTCTTTGTGTTGAGAGAGAAAACCAAGAGAAGCATGAGGATACAGATCCTGGATCTCACTATTGCTTCTCAGTCCAGTTCTGATGGTGGATCTCAGTGCATGATCTGAGATAACATCCAGGGAGGAAGTGTCGGAGGGGACTGGGCTGAGGGACAGCCTTGGCACGGACTGACTCTCCTCATGCTCAAACAGAACTTTGTACGTGCTGATAAATAAGTGAAACTACAACACAGCTCACTGACAACCATTTTTCCTCCCATCTGGGCTAACCTTCAAGAGACTGAAGTTTAAGCTAACCATTCAGGGAAAAAATACAACTGGATAGCAAGGAAAAATAGTGTATGGATGTTTATTTTAAGAATGTGGGGCCTGAGCAAATCCTCAAAGCCTTTGCATCAGCCCCACAGAGCTGTATTCATGGCAGATACTAGGAAATTTATGATTTTGAAATACAGTAGCCCTTCAGCTGTTTATCATATCCACAAATAAAAATCTGTGATTCCATGAGGAATCTCTCCTTGTGGAAAATGAGGTGAAAATATACTCCCAGGTTTTACTGTTGCTATTACTAGTAACTATTGCTATTTCTGTAAAAATAAAAATAATTAATCTAAGGGCAAATACTAGTTGCACAAGGCAATTTGAGGGATCAAGGCCTATAGCAATGGGTGATATAAAGTAGGAAAAAAATTCTAAAAGCAAATGATTTGCAAATACATTCTAAAATTAGTACTTGCTATTGGAAAAAGAAATAGAGTTAAACACATCTCTGAATAAAACAATATCCAAACCTCCTGAATTGTGAATACATAATTATGATTACACAATGAATGAAAACAACAAAACAGGTAGATACACATAGAGTTACTGCAGTCTGAAGGTACAGATGAGAGGATGGCACTTTACCTGTCAGCAATGTCACCAAAAATCACTGCTCCAATCAAGACTCCAAGCATGAATGTAGGCTGGATTAATTTTGCCAGCCATTCTCGGTCACAGACCAGATCCCACTGCGTAACAACAGTGCTATTCCATTTTGTATTGTCATAGAGAAATCCATCAGAACAAGAAAATATGGACTTGTTGCCTTTGTATTCATATGCCAGATCCAAACTCACTTCTCGTTTGGACCTGCTGCATTGATTAAGTTCCCAGACTTCTCCATTTTCCAGCTGGACTACAATGTAATTTTCTGTTGATGTCCATAGTGTCCAGATGTCCTCTAGACTTGATTCAGAGGAGTTGTAGAAAAGAACACTACTCACATTTCCAGGGATCCCACATACAAAGTTAGGAGTAACAGCCATGAACACAGACGCTAAGTAATGGATACCACATGACACAGCTTGAAAGACAGATGCAAAATAAACAAATGCTTGAAATCTGTCAAGGGAAAGAAAAAGTTTACTGAAGAAAAGCCTTTTATACATGGAAAAAAATCAACATAATTATTTTGCTAGGATCAGTAAATGTAGACAACACTAAAGTGTGTAGTGGTTTGCTATATTGTGCTGCTTCAATATTGGCTAAGCCCTGCAAAAGACCAAAGATGAGAAAAGATCCACAGCAGAAGTAATAGACTGTCAGGAAATAAATGCTGCTCTTAGTCATGTGTTTAGCCATACACAGAGAAGACCATTTAAAAGAAAATCATTTAAAAGCAACAAATGTGAACTTAAGCACTTAGTTTGAAGCAACCTTCCACCCTCCAATTCTGTGTAGTACATCCCCTCAAAAGAAGGCCTTAGATTACTGGAATGGTTAGAAAAAACAAAATGTTGCCTCCTCAGGTTTGGAGGTTGTATTACGTCCTTCATTTCACTTAATTGTTCCTATATACCTATATTCCATCTATCTTCCATCTCTTTTTATTGCCTCTGAAAGAAATAATACATGTAGACACACGTAGACGAAGAGAGAATCTGAAGAGTATGAAATGTTTTGTACCAAAACATAGCTGTAAACTGAGTTGGATTTTGGCTTAAACAGTGCGTGCAGTTATGCATTAAAGATTGTATCATAAAGCAAACATGGTAAAAAAATGTTTTATGCATAGCCTGAGTTTTGGCATTTTAACAGCTTTTAAAACATGCTTGAGATGCAATTAAATCTTTGTATATAAAATGCACACGTATTCGGAATGTCAAAAGACTTGCAATGAACTTTAGTATCACTGACTGCAAATTCTAGACAGTTTCTGATAATCTAAGCATAAGGAGTCTTTTCCTCAATTAAATGTTAAAATTATGCACAGAATTAGTACAACATCTGTTCAGAAAAAAACAACATAGCTTTGGTTTCTCTGTCACTTCCTATTTCCTGAAAGCCAATCAATTGCACTAATTTGAAGAAGCATTCAGTGAGCTTCTATATACACATCCTTACTGCAGTATGTGCTGGGCTTTGATAGTATGAAATGAAAAACAGGGTTTTCTAAATATCAGAGGCTATCTCTGCTGAAGTTATAGGAAATGATGCCTAAAAAACAATTGCTTTGAAATGTCTTGTGTGAAAAGTCAGAGCAATTCCAACCCCCATAACAAATGCAACCTCTAGATCGCTCCTCTCCAAAACATATCTAATCTAGGCTTGAAGTCTGGTAATAAAGGTTGTAATAATAATAAAAGTCCTAGACCAGGACTTTTAAAACATCTATTAACACAATTTCTAATGAGTTTCTAAACTATCTATAACCGAAGTATTTAAATAGAATTTGCTGAGTACATTGTATTAATGTCCAATTAACCTTTCCAATTAAACAGTTCTCCTGTATAACCTAACTCCATTCACCATTCTCATTCTCCTCTGCCTTTTCTCTTCTGATTCTTATTTCTTTCCTTAGTAAAAGTAAACCCAGTTGCCTATCCTGTCTTTCCAATGGCATTGTTGCTGTTCAGATGGAGTGCTATTTATCCCACTTTCTCTTGACAACAGCTCTATTGACTTTTCCACAGCAGTCTGAGGAGAGGGCTAAATTGCGAAAACCACCGTGGCAGCTCAAAAGCTCACTCCACTTCCCTCTTGAAGATGCTGCGAGGCAATGCTCATACAGGCGCTCTGCTGCTCTTTCCCAACAAACCTTGTGAGAGATATGGTCAAGAGAAACTGAACATAAACCACAGCATCCCTTAAGCCTATCAATTCCCTCTCAAGAGAACAGCTTCTTGAGGACTAAGTAGCTAGCCGTAAATCAAAGCAAGGCTAAACTTGGTCTGCAAAGCTTTTGGACTACCTTGGCCCCCCAAAAAAGCAATTATTCTGAAATGTAACCTTTGTCCCCCTATTAATGCAGACAAATATGGTCAGCAACATTTTTCAGTTCCTTTTCTCTAGTTTCATTTTAACTGTTCCCATCAGCAGACACAAACTCATTTTAAAAATAGCAGTACAAGACGAAATTCAACAACTTGGGCTATTGTTGCAGTATGCAGGATGACTGAAATCAGGACTAGAAGACCTCCAGCAAATTACCAAATTTAATCCCTAGAAACTGTGCAGTTACATCTTTTACTAGCTAACAAAAAGTAGTATACAGTATACCCGGAAACAGAATCCCCAGTATTTGCAATATCTGTCATTATGCATCAGAAAATTGCAGTGTCAGATAGCCCAATTGCTATTTTCCAGACAAAGGAAGAATTAAATAATTTCAAACTCCCATACATTCATCTTGAGTTTCCTAATTAGTCCTCCCAGTACAAGAAATATCATGTTCATCATTTCTTTTCTATCCAGTAAGAGTGAGCAAGAAAATACCTTTATGGCCTTTCTTGTTGGAGAGGCTTGAAAGAAGATGACAACTTGTAAGGATACAGACTGAGAGGATGGCATGAACCAATGCATTACATTATTTTTGAAAAAAAACAAATCCCAAGAGCATCACCAGGGCTATGATTTTGATCAGGTCTAGCTAATCTCTGCACTAACTGCTCCCCTGAGAGTCTTATCTCTTTCCGAACACTTCTTGTGATTGTACTTCAATAACCATTTTGACAGACTGCTCCACTGTCAAATTTTTCTGTTGGAAAGTTTCTCATTAAATCTAATCTCGATGTCCCCTTTTTCAGTGTAAGACTATTAGCAGCTTATAAAATATCCTTGTGCAACCGTGAATAAATCTTTCTGGTCTTTTATCACTTTGTTGTACAGAATTATCAGTTATCCCTCTCTCTAGTTACTTTCTAAAACTATATAAATTACCATCCCTTACCCTTTCATCATTTTTCCTTTGTGTTCTGTAGAATAGTTTCCACCTCTATAAAAAGCAATAAAAGATTTATTTTAAAGAAATATGTGTTATGCCATATTTCACCCATCTTTTGGGAGTTTAACTTAGAACTTGATATAACTGATTCTTGTAAAAACATTCTTCCATTTTCTATGCTATGAAAATCTTCCTCAGTTCCAATGAAGAAATCCACTCTGTAGTATCATTATTTTTCTGACCTAATTTGCAGCACCTATGCTAAGCAAACACAAAAAGTCAAACAGAATGCCAGATACACTTTAATAGAAATAATTTATGCTGTTTATGACTTAATTTAAGAACAGGAAAATGTGTTTTTACAGCAAAATGGCCGTGTTGTTGCAGAATCCTTCAGGACAGATTGCACTGCAGTTTTTAACCTCTAACTGCTCAATAAAAAAAGCCAAGGAGCAGGCAGGGGAAGCAGGACTAGGGAAGAATAAGGCCTGATGTGAAGCTAGAAAAGTGTTTGGCAGCACCAGTGGCTGAAGGAATCCCACAGCCCTGCCACCACACCAATGGGCTGCTCCCCTGCCTGTAAACACTACCTACTGCTCTCTCCAGTAAAATTCCACAATGGGCTGGCTAAGCCTCTCTCTATATATAGATAAATATTTCTATAAAACACACACACACAAAAAAAAAAAACCCAACCTGAAAGCCCTCTTCTGCTGTGAAGGCAAAATTCATTGCTGACTACAGTAGTGTTGTAACAGCATCCTCACTGATGCTAGACTGAAAAGCCCAACCTTATGAGCTGCTGAGAATCTCCTGTGAGTAGGAAGGGCTTTTCTTCTAGAAAGACCAATTGCATAGAGGTCAGGAAATTCATTAACTTGCATAGTTACCAAAAGGAGTTTAATTAGGCCATTAGTGACAACATATAGAAAGCATGAAAAGTATGTAGGGAGGATGATACATGGGATGGGAGAAGCCTATGGATGCATTAAACTTTGCTTGCCAGAACAGCTGAAGGAACAGAGAAAGACATGCCAAGCCTCATGGTAGACACGTGCTAGAACAGAGGTTGGGGCAGCAGACAGTGCTGAGCAAGGAGGAACATAAAGCTGCTGCCTGCTCTATTGCTAGCCTGGGATCCCTTCCTTTGGACTGTTGGGCGCATCAGTTTTATCTCAGCTCTCTTGCTGTGGCCATGTCAATGCTCTTCCCCAGTCTTGAAACCCCGGGGTTGCTTCTTGGCCCATGCTCATGCAACAGCTAAGCTGCTTCTCCTCTTTGCGGGAGGACTTAGTGCCAGGGGAGCACAGCTGCTCCTGTCTAGGGAGCCTGGAGCAGCCCCTGAGGAAGGCTGTGCTGAGCAGGAGGTCACAGTGGAACGTATACAGGTCATACACTTCACTGACCCTGACGCACAGGTTAAAGTCTATACTGTCCTTGTTACCTACTGTAAATTATTAACTTTTTTTCTGAATTCTTAATTTAAGAACACCGGACTGATAAGAAACTCCTCCATTACTAAGCTTCAATCTCTCTATTGCAGGCAAATATGTCATATAATCTTTTTAGTAAACTCACCAAACTCCATTTTAAAAGTTGAATTTCCCTGAATACAGAGATACTGCTGCTCATGCATCAACATGTTAAGAAAAAAAACATTGCAGTAGCAATAGATACTATTGAAATTCACCAAAAGAAAGCGAGGCTTCTTTCAGCAAAGTCTGTGATCTGTTTTCCTGGACTGATCTCAAAAAAGGCGTTTTTTGGCAAGGGTATTTTATATGCCAGTTATCTTTACATACACACGTCAGAGTATGTAATACATATTGTCGCAAGTAGGAGTTTTCAATACCTCTTTTACAGATTTTTTTTCTATTTTTAAAAAAGTGCACTTCTTGCAATTTTTAAGATCTGTGAGCATGATAACTATCTTAAAAGGTATGATAATCTCTTGCAGTGTTTTTCCATCTCTTCAGTGACTTGCCATGGGAGATAATTATTTGGCAAGTACATTTTGTCATTCTTGCCAGGAGTGTCAAATATAGAAGTCAAGAAGACTTTGTAGGTTACTGCTCCGCTATAGAGACGCTTAATGAATGCCAGAAGTCAAATGAGCATAAAACTGTCTTCACAAAAACTTGAGCAAGACACAACATGAAAATGTTCCTGTCTTAAAATAT